ACAGAGGGACGCCAAAATCGACGGCGTTTCGGCGCATGACGTAGTCAACGTCCATGACAGTCTTGCCACGGGCCTGGGCCAGGTTGAAGACACCACGAATGTCGTATTTCTGGAAGACCTCGCGAAGGGCACGCTTGTCCTCCTTGGGGAACTCAATGACCTCAACAGAGACCTTGCCCTTGGCACTAGACTCGATGAATTCCTTGACCTCATTGTCGGCAGCGAACAGCTTGTAGCCCATGGGGGCGAGGTAGTTGACGACGGTGGGGAGCCACTCCTTGTTCAGCTGACCACCGAAGAGAAGACCTTCACCGGGCTCAGGCATGCGGAAGTTCATGGTGGACTGCAGGGAGGTCCAGTAGGCCTCGACGAGGTCCTTGCCGAAGCAAGCAATCTCGCCGGTTGAGGCCATTTCGACGCCGAGGAAGGGGTCGGCGCCGGCAAGACGGGTCCACGAGAACTGGGGGACCTTGGTAGCGAGGTAGTCGCGCTTGACGGCCATAAGGTCGACAGGCTTGGGGACGTCCTGGCCAACGAGGGCCTTGGTGGCGGCATCAATGAAGTTGGTACCCAGGACCTTGCTGACGAAGGGGAAGGAACGAGAGGCACGGAGGTTGCACTCGATGACCTTCAACAGAGGCTCGCCGCCCTCAGGGTTTTCGGCCTTGATGATCTGCATGTTGAAGGGACCGGTGATGCGCCACGCCTTGGCGACCCGCTCAGCGATGTCCTTGACGCGGTCCATGGTGGTCTGGTCAATGTTCGCGGGGGGGAGGACAAGCGTGGCATCTCCAGAGTGTACGCCAGCCTGCTCGACGTGCTCACTGACGGCGTGAAGGATCAGCTTACCCTCAGATGCCACACCATCGACGTCGATCTCCTCAGCGCCCTCAATGAACTTGCTGATAACGACAGGGTGGTCGGGAGACACGTTGGCAGCAGCCTCGAGCTTCTCCTTCAGGTCCTCCTGGCTGCGAATAACAGTCATGGCAGCACCAGACAGGACGTATGAAGGACGGACAAGGACAGGGTAGCCAACCTGGTCAGCAAAGACCTCAGCCTCCTCAACGGAGGTGAGTTCTTTCCAAGCGGGCTGATCGATTCCAATGCTGTCGAGAATCTCAGAGAACTTCTGTCTGTCCTCGGCCTTGTCGATATCCTTGGGGTCCGTGCCAAGAACCTTGGCTCCGCCGGTTTCCTGCAGACGGAGGGCGATGTTTTGGGGCAGCTGGCCACCGACGGACACAACGACGCCCGAAGCACTTTCGAGCTCGTAAATGTCCATGACACGCTCGTAACTCAACTCCTCGAAGTAAAGCTTGTCAGCAGTATCAAAATCTGTGCTGTAGGTTTCGGGGTTGAAGCTGTTCAGGTGTCAGTACTCTACTTCCATTGCTGTCAAAGCTTCGAGACTTACTTGATCATCACGGTCTTGTGACCCATCTGGCGCAGAGCCTGGGTAGCGCTCACAGCGCACCAATCGAACTCCACGGAGCTGCCGATACGGTAAACACCGCTACCGAGAACGATAGTGCCCTTGTCCTCAAAGGTGACGTCGTGGGAGGAGGCATTGTAGGTGGTGTACAGGTAGTTGGTGTCGGCGGGGAACTCGGCAGCGAGGGTATCGATCTTCTTGACCCAGGGGCGGATACCGAAGGCAAGACGAGCAGCGCGAGCCTGGTCCTCAGTGCTCCCAGTCGCGAGAGAGATCTGGCGATCAGAGAAACCCAGCTTCTTGGCCTTGATAATCTGGTCCTTCTTCAGGTTCTCCAGACCACCAGAAGCCTCGAGCTCGTGTTGGCAGTCAACAAGGTTCTGCAGCTTGTACAAGAACCACTTGTCGATCTTGGTCAGATCATGAACCTTCTCTACCGAGTAGTTCTCGTGGAGCATAGCCTGACCAACAGCGAGCCAGCGGCGGTCGGTGGGGTTCTGGAGCTCGTAGTCCAAGTCCTCGAACTTGTCACCCTGGAAGCCGACAAACTTGGGATCGACCTGACGGATGGCCTTTTGGAAAGACTCTTCGAAGGTCCTTCCAATGGCCATAACCTCACCGACGGACTTCATGGCACTGCCGATATCGCGCTTGACATGCTGGAACTTGGACAGATCCCAGCGGGGAATTTTGGTGACGATGTAGTCAAGGGACGGCTCAAAGTTTGCCGTTGTAGTCTTGGTGACAGCGTTGGGGAGCTCGGGCAGGCTGTGGCCAAGGCCAATCTTGGCGGCAGTGTACGCAAGAGGGTATCCGGTGGCCTTGGAGGCCAAAGCAGAAGAACGGGAAAGACGAGCGTTGACCTCAATGACACGGTAGTCAAGGCCGTCGGGTTGGAGGGCGTACTGGACGTTGCACTCTCCAACAACACCAAGATGACGGACAATCTTGATGGCGGCAGATCGCAGCATGTGGTACTCCTCATCGCTCAGAGTCTGACTAGGAGCAACGACAATACTGTCTCCGGTGTGGATTCCCAAGGGATCGAAGTTTTCCATGTTGCAAACAGTGATGCAGTTGTTGTTTGCGTCACGGACAACTTCGTACTCAACTTCCTTCCAGCCCTTCAGAGACTTCTCGACCAGGATCTGGGGGGAGAGCGTGAGAGAACGGGCAGCCATGTTGCGAAGCTCTTCCGCGTTGTCTGCGAAGCCGGAACCCAAGCCACCAAGTGCGTAGGCGGCACGCACAATGATAGGGTATCCGACCTTCTCGGCGGCGTCCAGTGCCTCCTCGATAGTGCCGACAGCGATCGACTTGGCGATAGGGATGTCGATCTCGTCGAGGGCGCGGGCGAAAAGGTCACGATCTTCACTGGTCTCGAGGGTCTTGACGCTGGTTCCGAGAACCTTGACGCCATACTTCTCAAAGAGACCCAAGCGCTGCATCTGAACACCCAGGTTCAGGGCGGTCTGGCCACCGAAAGAGAGGAAGATGCCATCAGGCTTTTCCTTCTCGATGACATACGTCACGTACTCCGGTGTGACGGGAAGGTAGTAGACCTCGTCGGCGAGCGAGTGGTTGGTCTGAATGGTGGCAATGTTCGGGTTAATGAGGACGGACTTGACGCCCGCCTCCTTCAGAGCCTTCAGAGCTTGGGATCCTTCATGGACAGTCGTGTTAGCTGGGTGCTTCTTGGTATCTGTGACTCATGCTCTACACTTGTTGAGCGCGAGGTTGGCAGACAAACGAACCTGAGTAGTCAAACTCTCCAGCCTGGCCAATGGCAAGACCACCACTGCCAATAACCAGCACCTTCTTGACATCGACGCCCGCGGAAGGCTTGATCACACCGCTCTCAAGATAAGCCTTGGGGTTCGGCGCAGATTGCGCGGCACTAAGACGAAGGGCGCTCGCGCTGAAGAGACGCTTTTGGAGCAACTTGGCGCTGCTGTTTTGGAGTTGAGCTCTAGCCAGGCCGTTGGAGGCGGCGAGGGTGAAGTTGCGACCGGTCAGAGCTGTAGGGACTCGGCGACCATGTCGGAGGACGGCCGGAGCTCGACCTGCCAAAGAACTTGACATGGCCGAGGGCATTGTGATGGTCTCAAGGTAGCAATGCGACAGAGACCTGGGGAAGAGAGAGAATACTCGAGGTCAGGGCCAATTGAATGGTTTTGGACCAAGAGAGAAGAGGTATTTTGGCCGCCGGGTGGGAAGGTTTGTGACTCTTCCGTGAGCTTTGTTACCTTAGAGTTGTGGGGAAGGAAGATGGTCGCAGCGGTCTTCGTCTTCAGCGACAAAAGGCGGTCCGAATTCCGATAAGATAAGGAAATTTTCTCTGAACGTTGTTGAATTGGCCGATCGGGGGAGCCCAACAATGGCTCAAGACGCTAATTGGGGTAATATCACGTCCGTTTCTCTTCTAAAGGCCCCGTCTGCTGCCCAGGGACCACTCCGGCGCCGTTATCGCAAGTTTCTGCGTCACCGCAGTGACACACCCTCGCACATCTCTCGCTGAGGGACCACCCTAGCAGTGCCTCCTCAATGAGCCTTGGGATTTGGCGAAAATTTCTGACATTGCACGTACTGAACAAGGTTTTACGGCGTCAAAACTCTCAGCATCGCCATCTCGTATGTAACGGTCGGATGCCCCGAGCCGTTCCACGACTTTTCGTGCATTTGAAGCGGGTGGCTCACCCACAGGTTCGTCCCAGCCTACTCAAGCTTATTGCATACGTCCTGAGCTCAATGTGCCCAGACATTACTAGCAGCTTGGACAATATGCATTGAGTCACGGAAACAAACTCTTTTGGGATGGAAATACCTAATGTTACATGTACGCAAGATATGATTGACTCAATTGAGACGATTGGAGACCCATGGGGACTTGCAATATTCCCCGGGCGGGCTCCAGCTGCTCCAGCTGCAGCTCCAATTACCCAGCAAGGACTGTCGAGTGACTCACGGCGCTCTCTCGCTCGTTCGCTCGTCTGTTTCTCAGTCTCGGACCTGTGCCAGAGTCGAATTGCACGCACCTTTTCGTCCTGTGTGAGGGCCCGAGCTTCTTACCGTTTGGGTTCCATTGCGATCTGACGTCTGGCCTACGGATACGGATACCTTACCTAACTAACCCCGCTACATCTGGCATGTGCCCCGCCTTTAGCACTCAGTGCCGGGGAGTTGTGAACTTCTCTTTCCTGCCATTGGCCAATGCCTCTAATGCAGCCCAAGCAAATGCCGCTGAACGACTCGGAGGAGCCCGAATCGGTGATGGCGCCGATGACACCGATGTGCCATGTCGAGACTTCTCATGAGGATCACCTGCCAAACCCTGCTAGGCGTTAATAGGTCATTTAAACTGCCCACCTACTGAAGAGGAGCCGTGGGGCAGCTGAACTTGACGGTAGCTTAGGCTTTTGACACCCTGATACTTTTGGTTGACAACTTGACAGTATGCGTACGACACTTCAAAACGTGATTGGTATTCCATTCGCCAACATATGCCAGCCCAAGCTCATCTCATGTAAGTCATATCCCTTTTTCTACTTTCCCAATGCCGAATCTTCTAGTTTTTGTCGAGTCTCACTGCCGGGTTTCTCTCGATAAAGTTCAAATCCACCTTGTGTCCTAACAGCTCACGAATGTTGGAGATGCCATACTTAATCATGGTCGGTCTCTCCAAGCTCAAACCCCAACCGTACACTCTCATATCCTTAGGCAGGCCCATTGCCTCGAGCATTTCCGGTCTGAACATACCACTGTTGCCGATTTCAACGAGCTTGTTCAAGCCCTTGTGGAAGCTGAAGATCTCCATACTCGGCTCGGTGTAGGGGTTGTACGCCGGCTTGAACTTGATATCTGTGATACCCATCTTGTTGAAGAAGATCTCCATGAACTCCATCAAACCTCCCAAAGTAAGGCCGTAATCCGCAATAACACCTTCGACCTGATGGAACTCTGCCAAATGCGTGGCGTCGACACTTTCGTTACGGAACACTCTGTCGATGGAGAAGTAACGGGCGGGGGGAGGTCTGCCGTCTGGTCCCTTTCTGGCGGCCAACTGATGAAGCACTGCCGTGGAAATGGCCGTCGTGTGCGTGCGGAGAACAAGCCTCTGAGCCTCGTCCGCAGCCCAAGGGTAACGGTAGCCAATTGAACCAAACTTGCCATCCTGGTGGACCTCCTTAACATTGTCCCAGTACGTCTTATAATCCTTCTTGTCATCTTCCGACTCGGGGCCAGGCTTGTCTGCAACCTTGGGGTCCGAGATGTAAAAAGTATCCTGGAGATCTCTCGCGGGATGTTGCTGGGGAACGAAAAGGGCGTCGAAGTTCCAGAATCCAGACTCGACAAACTTGCTGGTCGGCATCTCCTCGAAGCCCATCTCAAAGAAGATCTGACGGAACTCGTGGCGGACCTTGTTGAGTGGATGAAGCGCGCCAGAGTTCTGGTCGGATCCAAGAGCCTTGAAATTGTACGGCTTGAAGTTGGCAGTCTTCCATGAGCCCGAAGCAATCATGTCGGCCGTCAAATCCGTTTCCTCCTTCTTGATCTCCAGTGCGAACTCAGGCCCCTTCTGGATCTTGTAGGCGATGATCTTCTGGGTCTTGATGAGCTTGCGCTTCTTTAATTCGGAGATGACCTTGGGTTCGTGGGTCTTCGTCTCCAGGATTTGCTTGAGCTGAGCTTGGGTAACATCTTGAATCGAGTCGGTCTGCGCAACCCCCATCAGCATGTATCTGTAGTATGTGAAGCAAATAGACTTACAGCTGCAACAAACTTGCCATCACTCTTCGTGATCCATTTCTCCTTGAAGGCCTTGCCTTGACCGAGCCTCGTTACGTTCTTGTCACCCACGGCAGCCTCAAGCTCCTGAACCGTCAATCCTTCCAAAGCCTTGCGGACCGCTTCGAAGACACGAGCTTCGTGACTTCCGTGCTCGGCGATTTGCTTTCCCTCTGCCTCGAGAACGGCTTCCTCCCGGTCAATTGACTCGTATGTCACCATAGAACGACTGGCAAGTCGGTCCAATGCCGCCTTGATGTCCGTGAAGTGGAACTCCGGGAAATGCTCGGCAGACAGGATGGGATCCTTCTTGGACAAAGCAAGAAGAATCTGGGAGGTGAGGTCCCCAGAAGGACCGTTGCTTTCCGTCGCCATGGTTTCGTGAGCTGTTGTCTGAATATGTGGCCTGTCACGTCGGTTGTCGATGTTCGGCTCGTTGAGTCAGAGGGGCACTTGTAAATTAGGCGGGAACTCCTGGCAGAAATTTGGCTACGAAGGTCGAATCGGAGGGGAGTGTGGACCCTGCGCGGGATGGATGGAGGGGTAGTCGTATCAAAGATTCTCCTTCTCCGATACTAGCTTCTCAGCTTACGACGAGCGACAGCTTGCCAGCCGCCTTCCACTCCCCAAGCTGTGGCGTCACTCTTGGTATCCCTGCAGCTGGCTTCGGTCGGCTTTTATCCACACCTGTCTGCATCACGTCCCAACGGTCGGGAATATCACCATTCATGCTTTTATCTTGACAGCCAGCTCCACTTCTTCAAGCGATATTCTCTCAATTAGTATGTGAAGCGTCGCTCTCGTCGCCACGCTGCAGGAACCTCCTCCGACACAAATGAGGCCAACGAGCTATGGTCGATGATGCCGCGCCAGAGATCCTGCCAGGCCGATCGGTTCCTCTCGGGAATGACCACGAGGGTGGCAGAGGAGATCCAGAGCCTTCACACCTCGCTGACGATGCAGGCGCTAGAGGGTCTAGAAGAAGGCGACGGCGGAAACATCGAAAGATCAATCCGGGCCTGGCAAGGAAGTTCGACTTCATGACCCAATTACTGCGAAATCTCGACTCCCTAGTATACGCAGAGCTATGCACATTATACTACATGGAGTATGGAGCCCTCTCTCCTTTCTCCGTCTTCCCATATTCTGACAACTTGCAGGTGTTCCATCTTTCGCTTTGCAGTTCGTGTCTATGGACAACACCACTGGCTTACACCCAAGCCCGACGACTACCCGTTGACTATGGCGGCGGCCCGGTCCCAGGTCATATCGGTGTTTGTCCCGAACTTGCTCTGTATTCTGCTACACATATTTGCATCCCTACCTGCAGCTGGCGAAGCTGCGCGTGGCTATCTTCATGGTGGCGTGATCGTCGACTTTATAGGGCAGAAGCCACCAACCTCGAGGCTTGCTTTTCTGGCGCTCGATTGTGTTATACTGGCTGTGCAGTGTCTAATGCTAGCTGTCCATGCTGAGCGCGAGAAATTACGACCCATTGTACGGCCTCTATTATTTCGCTTGCCGCCGGCACTAGAAGAAACGATTGGGTTGATGTCTACTCAAGATCACGATGCTGAGGAACGAGGAGTATTGAGGGATGCACCTGGACTGGAGATGGAAGGTGAAGACGGCGTAGAGCTCCAGCCTCTGCGACCTAATGGCGAGGCTGAACATGGCCAAGAGATTGAACGGAGGCGGTCTTCGAGACGTCGCTCGTCCTTGCATGCAGCCAGCGGTATGCATTTGTTCGACGTCCTCAGTTCAGGTAACGGCGTTTTGGGCGAGTTCCACATCTCTCACACCATCAGACACGCTACCACTGATTATTGGGGAGCGGCAGGCCACTCGCTTCAAACCCTGGGTTATACCGCGACATTGACGAGGTTGTCTGCAATGAGGAGGATGCCGCAACTCGAACGCAATCAGAGGAATCAGAGGTAGTCTAGATGCTAGATGGTATCGTGACATCCAATGGCAATTGACCTTCAATTGTGCCGTCGCATTCTGGTATCTTAAGCAATTTTGCGACCAACATTACCAACACCGCTTCCCTTGACCGAAACAAGTATATCGTCCGACTCGTCGCCTTCGACGTCCCTCAAACCCCAACTACTAGCGCCGAATGTCCGCAAGTCCCGCGCGAGACCAACCATCTCTTCCGTTCCAATGACATCTCTTCCTATCCTCAATCTGCCCACATCTTCAGACCCCATGGCCATCAACGTCATGACAGTGCTGGCAGATGTTTTGCTGACACATCCTCCCTGCGCAATTGTCTCCAGCAATTGATAGGCGCAATTCTTGCCAATATCTTCGGGAACCACGCCGCCCACTGGTGGCGCTACCACATCTGCCGAGTAGAGGACTCCAACAGAGCTCGATTCGGCGACCAAACTCAGACCGAAACCAATACCTGTTCGTGTCTTTGACTTGTCGGCCGCCGTGATAAGTGGTGCTGTGTCGTATTGCGCTGCGATGTGGATGTCTGAAACCAAGGCATTCAAAACCTCTCTTGCCGAGTGAATCATTCTGCTGTTGTTGGACGCTGAGACTCCAGTACAGTATGCGACTCCTCGTATCCTCCTTATTTTGCCGGGATTGCGGTTCAGGTGCAATGTTTTCGGAAGTCGGACCTGGCTTGCGAACCGGAGCTCTACGACACCACCGCCACCTCTACCATTCTTTCCAGGACAGGATCGCGACAGCACTCTCAGCTCGATTCGCGCTGGTGGGATACCGAAGAGGCCGAAAAGGGGCAGGATAGCTGTGCGGAAGGAGTCGACGGAGATGTCACCAGTCTCAGTCGCAGACGTGATGACGCCTGGGCCAGTGAACCGGATGTTGACATGTGCCTTCGAGAATGGCGCGAGGAGGCAGATGGGAAGGAGGAAGTAGGTGACGCCGCGGTTGTTGTTCGCGGGGAGGTTGTGCTCGATAACTTCGCCGTCGGAGGCGCCAAAGCCGGCAATCGTTCCAGTTATCAGACCGGGGTGGTACGTGATCGTCGTACCGGTGTACGAAATTTGCATAGAGCTGCCATTGGTGACGGCTTCCAGTAGACGGAGGAATGAAATCTCATGCGGCGCAAGACCGGGGTGTGTCGGCGACGAGCTGCGAATTTTGGAGATATGTACTGGCCGACCAGTTAGAGTTGATATAATCAGTCGCTGCGCGAAGGACCTATGCCCTGTGAACCGCAGGTACTCGGGAGCGGAAGCCATCGTGCCGTCGGTATTTTGTTGCTGCTGGTATCCAGGGTCGAAAAAAAGCGTACACGATGGTGGGATCTAGAAAATTATCTTTTTCTGCCTCAATATGGCTGCAGCTCTCGCCTGAGGTGGAAGGCGGTAAGCGGATGGAGAGGGTCTCTGATAAGATAACTTGCTAGTGCTCCGCGACGCGCAGCTGCAAGCGCACCTAGGTTCAGGGACCATCAAAAAATCTTACCCGTTTCTCTATCTGCCATGAGCTTCCGTCACGTCTGAAGCCACACGTTTCTCTCTCTTCTTCATGTCGACCAATTATACCTCTCCTTATGTCTCATAGAACTCTTTTTCGTGACATAACATGTCGGAATACATTCATTTGCCAGTCATGCCAGTCGACTTTAGGCTCTTCAGCCCCGCCGCCATGGGCCATTCGACATAGCTCTCGCGTGGCCCAACTGGGAGTACGGCCTCGACCTGGTGCCCAGAACACACAGCGCAAATCTTCCCCGACGCAATCCGCCCGAACTGACGCCGATCCCAACAAAGCAGCTGCCGACCTTCTCAAGGAACTGACACAAAGGAAAACGGGCGAGCCTATTTTGAAGTTCTTCGAGAAGAGTCAATCCGGCAAGGTCGAGCAGCTGGGGGGCGAAGATGCATTTACGGACTCTTTGGGTGGCATGGCCGAGCTGGAGAAGGAGTTGAATGTGAATTTCGCGGCTGACATGCGGCGTATGCTCTCTCGACTTCAGAACGAGGGCGGCTTGGGTGCTTTGGGAATCAATGACGTCGAATCGATTGCGAACGATTTCGAGGGGAAGCTCGGGGATACCAAGAACCCCGAAGAGATGATGGAGAACTTGGATACATATATCAAAGACCTGGAAAGCCAACTCGAGGCAGCAGGGTTCGACGTGGGGGAATTCGATGACTCTAACCCCGTGGCAACGATGGACGTCATAGAGGCGACTGCTCGCGAGGATCCCTCGAAACGAAAGAAGAACCCTCGAATCCCGCAGATCCCTGAGAAGGCATGGAGCTTCAACCAGCGAAAGCGGATCACACGATTGAATGCGCTCCTCTCGCGAACGACCAAGGAGATGCGAAGGGGGGAAGACGTCACGGCGAAGACTGCCCAGTCGGTCTGGAAGACGTACAGCGCGGCGCGGCAATCTCTAGCAAAGGCTTGGGCGCATGTCCCTCAAGACGTATGGAATCTGCTGTGGGACATCTTGTCGCTGGACGGTGCGCACAACCCCAGTCGTCTCACATACCTTTCGCTACTAGCAAGAGACATGAGTGAAGCGAAAGTTGCTTTGAGCCCGTCGCAACAGCTGGTCACAGTAGAAGCTATGTTTGTGGATGGATGGGAGGCTAAAGCCATCGAAAATTGGAAGAGATGTATGTCCACTCTTGGAGACAGCGGGGCCGACACTTTCAAGGAGTTCTGGGAGCTTGGAGTGCGCATGTTCTGCCAACAAGGCGAACTTGTGCAGGGAGAGCGCGCGGTGAACAAGTTGCTCGAGCGTCAACTCGACCCACGCATTTTGTTGCCGTACATCAGGAGCTGCGCAGCAAATCCAAAGGTAGAGGCAAGGGCAAAGGCCTGGGACGCGTACCGTCGGATGAGAGACCTTCTTGGCTCTTCGATGGGGCTCGAGGACTACGATCAGGTGATTTCCTTCTTTTTGACGACAGGACAGACGGAATACGCTCTGCAAGCCTTCGTCGATATGATGAGCTCTGGTACGGTCCAGCTGGGTGGACGAGAACGATTGCCTTCTCAGATCGGCAACAAATTTTTCTTTGGCAAGTGGCTGAAACGACTTATCGGTGCTGGAGACCTCGATGGAGCGCACAGCGTTTTCGAATTTATGCGCTTCAAGGGCATCGAAGCGGCCAGCATTCAGGTGAACGGGCTCATCGGCGCCTGGCAAAGGTCAGGCGGCGCCAACAACCTGGAGAGGGCGGACAAGCTGGCATGGAACATGATCAATGCTCGCATTGACTTCGTCGAGAACCGACGTCGACTTTCAACTATGCAAGGGCCAGTTCGCACAGTCGAAGTGACTGGGAATGCCAGGATGGCTGCCATGCCCAAAGCCACGCTCGAGACCTTCTCTCTGCTCGCGGAGAATTATCGTCTACGAAACCTTCATGGTGACCTAGCGAAGTTATGGGACGCCTTCAGGGAAGCGGAGATAAGCCCGGACGCCTTCATGATGAACCAACTACTGGAGTCATACTCCCAGAACGGCAACATCTCTGAGGCACGCCAGCTATACCGGACGCTCGTGTACGAGCGCCAGGTGAATCCGGACCCCTACACTTTCATGGCATTGTGGAAGATGCTTGGTGTCAACCGGCTGCACAATATCGCTGGCGACGAGCTTGCCGACGAAGTCAGAATCACGCGCGAGACTTTTGCAGAAATGGTCCGCTTCTCATCCCTTTTCAAACCCGACGGTCTCGACGGCCAGCTCGCGAGGAAAATTCTCCACACCTTCCGCCGGCTCAAGGATAAGCTAGGTCTCGTCGTCGCCCTCCAAGCCTTCAAAACCGTCTTCGACTTCACTCCGCCAGAGGTGTTGGCCCTCGAGATGATGATGGAGACCACGAGTCTTGCGTGGGAGACGACACAGGCACGACAAAAGCTTCGTCTCGTGAAGCGCAAGATTGACGCGCACGTCGAGAGCCGACAGAAGTTCATTGGAGGGTCTCTGACTCTTGACGAGATGACACCGAAGCAGCGTGGCGAGGAGTACTCTCACTACTTGCAGACGTCTTACATGCACGACATTGGTGAGATGCCAGATGGCCATGTGACACAGGTGGCCAAGGAGATGGGTGTGCACGAAATTTTGGCAGGTCAAGGGGCCTGAGGCCACAAACCCTCTCTGTAATGTTAAGATATAGATATTGTACATTATAATGACACACATCATGACAATACTCGATACTCTTACACCGCACAGATAGATGGAGTCTGCTCACGGTATGCTACATTTAAATTAATCTAATCGTGATCCTCCTCTGTGACACCAGGACATCCATCCATCTCATCGTCCGGATAAGTAAACTTACACCAGAAGCAGTATCGATGCTCCCTTCTCAGGTACTCCACCAGCCGTCTCAATTTCTCGGCATCCTCCAGCTCGTTGAACTGGTCGAGCTCGGGATCCTCCTCGTCCAGGTCGTCCGCGGTGACGTAGACAATCTGCTTCTTCCCCAACGCCGTCCGATCGTCCGCATCTTCCTCGTCGTCCTCGTACGTCGGCAGCCGCGACAGGCTTTGCTCCAAATCGTACCTCATCCTTCGGTCCCGCTCCTTCTCCTCGCGGTGTCTGGCTAGACCCCTCCAGAGGACGTTGATTGATTTGAGCAGTCTCGACGCGGCGCCGGCCGTCGGCCTCTTCTCCTTCTTCTCCTCCATCTTCTCCTCCATCTTCTTGCCGTCCGCGCTATCATCATCTCCATCATCATCTTTCCCCTTGCCATCAATTCGGTCAATAACCTGCAAACCAGCCTCGCCCTCCCTCTCCTCCGCCATCCTCTCGGAAAGCCTCTGCGCCGCAAAAACCTGCGCCTGCACTCTCGCGACCTCCCTCTCCTGCCTCACACGGTCCCGGTACTCCAACGGATCGACCCTAACCCTCTTGCCCTCCCTCAACTCCTCCTCAATCCTCTCCGCCGCCTCCCTCACCTTGCGCTTCCTCTCGCTCTCCATCCCGATACCGCCCCGGTCCCCCTTGACCTCAACTGCAATCGGCTCCGTCCTCGCGTCGCTAGCACCGCCACCGTTTGCCGTCTTGGCGCCCAACGCGCCACCCGCTTTGAAGCCCATTTTGGCCATCATCGCGAAACCTTTACTCTTCTTGGCGGCCGCGTCTTCGAGGAGGGAGCGCGAGAGCGCCTTCTCGCGCGCCACCTCCTCCTCGGCCGCGAGCTCCTCTTTGGACTTTATGCGTCCGCGGATCTCACCCTCGCGCTTCAGGCGCTGGCGACGCTGTAGGGAGGTCTCTGGTTGGGATTTTGCCGTGGGGGCGGGTTCGTCAAAGGTCATGTTCATGTAGTCGTCCTCCTCATCAGAGGCTGCCATGGCTGATCGTGAGTTGGCCTCCGGCACACAGGAGAAATGGTAAGGGCAGGTTATTCTTCAATGCAGAGCTCTCCGGGGTATGAGTATGGATTTGGGTGCTGGTGTAAGCGTGTTGGGGGTGATGTTTGATGGGAATGTTGGCGCGTGAATCCAATTATTGCAACCTGAGAAAGTGAACGCTGCTGAACGGCTGTTTAGTCTCAGTCGTTTCACCAGGATGGTTTCTTAGATGGACGTCTGTGATGTTGACGAAAATTCGGCCTCAGATCCCGACTTTGAAGTCGACGGATGTCGAAAGAGCTTGTTGATGTACGTTCTGAGGTAGTGGTGGGGACCCACCTCAGCTGCCACCTCAGCCAAAGCATGTATAATAGATGGTGAAGTGGGAATTTAGCTGGACGCACTGTACAAATGCGCTTCACGTAGAAGAATTAGAAAACATGCATACCGGCATTTCCTGGGCTTCGCAGTGGCACTCTCCCCTTACATAATCTACTTGAATTAGGTATGGATTTTTTATTGATGGCATTTTGCCCATGGTCTATGGTAAGCCACGAATGAGCTCTCCACCCCTCTACTGGTATTGAATACAAAAAGGGAATAAACCATGCCGAAAAGCACCCGCGAACTTTTTGACACCGTAACACAAAAGACTGCAGTGCGAGCTGTCTATCGATGCCTGGCCTTCTTCCTGCCGTCCTTCTCCCTCTCGTACGCGTTCGCCTCTCTGCCCTCCTCGTTCTGGATCTCCGCCACGAGCCTCTTGTACTTCTTCTCGTAGGCCTCGTCCTTGGCCTTCTTCGCACGCAGGTTCTCGCGGGCCATGAACTGGGCGTCCTTCCTCAGCTCTCTCATGGCGCCCTTGCGCTCCTTCTTGTGCTCCTTCTTCAGCTTGGCCATCTCCGCACGCTCGCGATCCGGGTCGTAGTGTTTGTTCGGGTCGTACGAGTCCTCGAACTTGGGGATGAACGTCTTGATGGCGAGTGGACGGTGGTGGTGCAGCTCAAGCGGTCGTCTCGAGAGCTGGGCGATCTTGAGCATGCGTTCCATCTTGAGCTTGGACTTGTCGAGCTGTTCACCCAGGGCTTCGGGTAACTTGGCGCGGCTTGACTTGCTGGTCAGGTGCGCCATAATGTCCAGTGCTGATTGGAACGTCTCGTTGAAGGCAGGCTTTCCAGTCCAAGTGTCGGCAGCAGCGCCTAGGAGTTGAAGCGTGGTGCCTAGCAGGGCGACCTTCTTCGACTCAGCTTCAATACCAGTCACCTCTGTCTTGGCGCAGTCAGCCGGCGAGAGTTGTCGGAGCTCCGTCTTTCGCGCGTTTGCGACGCGAATGCCCACTGCAGGCTCATGGAGAGGGAAGTTGCCCGACAGCTTGGAAACTGCCGAAGGAGCTAGCGCGCACAGGGTGTTGAGCGAGAAGCTCATCACCTCGGGAACGTAACGCTTCGAGAATTGCTGGTACTGAACTGCTAGGGTCGAAAGATAAATACCAGTGGCGTAATCACTCAGTGTTTGCGGAATCTTGCCGCCCAGGTAGCGCCCGATGGTAAGCATAGCAGGAGTAGCGACCTGGTGGAAGTGGTCTGAGGTAGGGAATGTCGATCCGATAGCAGTCAACAGTGCCAGGTCGCCAACATGTACTGCAAGAGGCCGTTGCTGGCTGATCTCCTCGAGATGGGAGCGGTACTGGTTTGCGATGTCGACGGGAAACATTTTGGCGAGAGAGTGGATATGCCGAACCAAGCTCTCCAGCACTTGGAAAGATGGGCTGTTCTCCGTCCGCGGGCCATGACCGATCATGTCCACAAGCGCCTGGGCAAACTTGCCGAGCTTCTCCTTATTCCTGCTATCCAGCTTTGGGTGGTACAAAGCTCGGATGCGCTGAACGATGGTGGGCAGCTTATCGCTGGGATACTTCTGTGACAGCGCTGAGAGTTCCTCGTAACTCTGCGGACATGGGAAAGTATAAGGCAACTCGGAGCTGTCGAGTTCCGCGTCCCCTTGTCCACCTGCTTGTGCGAACACAGAGCTCTTCGATTCCTCCTCGTTGAGCAAACCTTTCGTAAACTCGTCGTCTTCAGAATCATCCCCTTGATATTCCTCTTCTTCGCCCGACTCCTCCTCGTCACTCTCGATCGGTTCCAGGTCCGAACCGCTAGCAATCAAGTCGTCCTCGATGAGGAAGTCATCTTCATCGTCAAAACCAAGCTCAGTCGCCGTTGGGCGAGTCTTGGTCTTGATTCCCTTTCCGAGGCCGAAATCCTCCTCTTCCTCTTCGGGAAGCCACTGGAAAGCAGGATCCTCGGCAGGCTGATCCTCCATCTGCTCATCCTCGCTTTCTTCGTCAGAAGAAACAGCTTCGCCGTTCATTCTCTTCAGGCGCTTCTCCTCAAGCTCCTTCAATCTCTTGGATTCCTCCTCCACCAATTCTTCGTCGGTCTTCGTGCGCTCTGTTGGAGCCGCACGGCGATCCTGAACAAGCTTCTTCAGGCGCAAATCGAACTCCTTATCGAACGTTGCCTTGTCAACTCCAGCAATCAACTTGCTTCCCTCGTCCTTCTTCTGCGCATCCGATTTTCCATGAGCCATCAGGAGAGCGTGAAGGTTTGGTAGCTCCTTGTCCAATTCCATCCTCAGGTCCGCATCTTCATCCTTGGCAACCTGGCGCTCGTATTTATGCATCTTCGATTTCGCAATAACCTCTTCCATGACCTCTTTCTTGGACTTTTTCCTGTCCGGCTCATCATCTGCTCCCTCTTCTTCTTCACCGAGACCAGCATCGCGCAGGCGCTTAAGCCTCTTGTTCGCGGATAGGGAAGAGTCGCTGTCGTCATCTGAACCAAGGTCGTCTTCGTCGAAGTCGTCTGCCATATCCGCATGGTGTTCAAAGTTGAGAGTCTGACCCATGTGCGTCAATTCGCCAAGCGGCTCGGCTTCCTCGAGATCGAAAAGCGACGTCTTCTTGTGTGACCTCTGCTTTTCGCGGGCGAAACGTTCGAGCATCTTCTCTTCCTCGGCCAAGGATGGGTCGTTTTCACCAAATCGACGGTCAAGAATTCCGCCGACCTTGTTGCGCTTTTGCATCTCGACGAGAAGCGTCTCCCGACGCTGGCAAGTTTGTTAGCATCGCATGCCGCTTGGAGCAGCGGTGTAGTCTTACCCTCTGCTCGCCCAGAGACTTGGCTTCGGTGGGACGACCATTGATTCCTTTCGCTGCGGCACCGGTCTGAGGCCTGTTGGTTGTTATATCGAACTTGGGTCCTCGTGGGTTGTGCTTCAGGTCAAAGGGGTTAAATTGTTCTCTGATTTGTCCCAGTGCAGCACCTCTCTGCAGGCGCTTGTCGGTCTTGGCCTTTTCGTCCTGCGCGAATTGACGTTTCTGCTTCTTAGACTTCTGAGGTCCAGTAATTCCCTGCTCCCTCAGGGAGGCTTTGAGCCGCTTGAGCTGCGAGCCGGCCATCTTATCGAGCGTAACTGATACTCGTCGTTGTTGTCGCTGCGAATAATCACCATCAGAAGCAACTCGGTCCTCGCACTTGCCCAAATTTTTTGAGCGGGACAGGCTTATCTTATCGCGATGGTGGGGATTCAATGGGCGGTGGCGCATGGCAGATTCAATGGTTGCTCTGGCTTGAGCTCCCAGCGTCCGTCCCTGCAAGCTAGCTACCACGGCTACCTCCCAGCTCCAGTTGCGTGCCTTGAGCTTCCGACACTCAAGGCTCAAGGCTCAATGCTCAAGGTTCGATAAGCGACCATGCTTCAGAAAGTTTCGTGTCAGCATCAAACAACATGACTTGGATGTCATTTATTCGCGATGAGCGCATTATCCTCGTTGGCATCGGCGCCGCTACGTTTGGCTTGGTCACTATGATGACCCAGATGCTGACATACATCCGCGACGACAATGAAGTCAAAGTCACGCCGCCCAAAACGCAGTACATTACTCAAGAGACCGAAGATGCGCTTGGTCTTGATACTCTGGACAAGTTGCTATGCCACCCTAATTTCTCGATTCGAGATGTCGCCATCAAGATACTTTGCGATCGCGCTGTCAACGACAGCGGTACGGTGCGACAGCTTCTCTACGGCATCACGCGACCTGACTACGACACTCGTATGAAGAATCTTCGTGCTATGGCAACGCTCACCGGGCAGACCAATGGTAGGAAAAGCCATCTTTTTTACGGGACGGACGAGCTGACTGACTTCCAGACTTCGCAGAGGGCCTGTCGAAGTTGCACACATGGAGAGCGTACTCAGCTCTTGTCAGATCCCTCGAATTAAGCCTCGGCGACACGGAACAGACGAAACTCGACGACAAATACTGGGACGAGTACTACCTTCGCGATATGGCGGAGAGGTTCTGCCTCATGTTCGTCCTCGAGCTCATCACTAAGTACGGCGCGGATATGCTGGTCAAGGCTAAATTTGTGGAAAAGTGGTTGGCAAAACAGCAGTGGGGGGACAATGATGCTGAAAGGCAGGAAAACTTCATTTACTACATGGAGCACAAGAATAACCGTATCGTCGACATTGTTACGAGGATCGCACACACTACCCAGGGAGCAAAGGCGATACTCGCCTGCAACCTTGCCACCAAAACCAGTTTTGACCTCAACCCGGATACTAACTTGGCTGGGTTTACCATTGCATTACAGTCCACTTTGTGCAACGCCGATGGCGAAGACGAAGCGCTGCAAGCAGTAGAGCAAGTGCCTCGGACACGAGAGCACTCGGCCGAGGAACAGCGTCTCAGGCGCCAACACCGCGAGGCGATGGTGTTCAACGACGGTACGAGACCGATTGGAAGGGAGGACATAATCGAGAGAAGCCACGATTCGCCGAGCTAAGTATCGAGTGTTGCAACGGGAAGACGAAAAAAACATGGCGGATAACATGAAACGGCGCCTGGCATATGTACATGGTGTACGTTCAAATACGGCTTCCAGGATCAGATCAGCATTACAACGATTTGATGGATCGCGCGCCACCAAATCCGCATGGGCCGGCAACGACAGGCAAGGGTACTTCAAGCCATGACTGTCTAGGTAGGACAACTTCTGTACAAAGTAGCATGATTTGAGGTGGACCGGCGGCACGTGTAACAACGCGACATAGGTATGTAGAGGATTCGCATCCAGTTGCCTGGGGAGGTGGGGGACCCGGCTACCTAGGCAGTTGAGGGGGCCTCTTCCGTGGCCAACAGCCTGCCCGGCACAGCAGGGTTAGCAACACAGACCCAACCATAGACTCACGACGAGACACGAAAGAGAAGAGCGGTTTGTTTGACCCAAGAGTTGTTCGCGAACTGTCGTACTTAGTTCCATAAAATTGCAAGGCGTGCTGGAAAGATCGAGACAGATTGGCGAGGTTGTTTTTCGTCCGATGAGGAACTCCCAGTCTCTCACCCAGCGTCCAGGTCCAGTTTCCAAAAAATTAGCGCGTATCCGTAGACGCACTGGACAAGTGGTAAGCACCCTGCGGCACTGGTCAAGCCCGCAGCTCGCACCCGATTCGGATGCTGTTCCCAGAAGCTTTGACGCTAGACCCCGGGTCTCTCATTCATCGTCGGCAGGTAACCATTCTCGACGGACTAGGCGGTCCTAGCAAAGCTCATCCGGTTCATCGGGTCTTGAAGCATGTGGAGTAATGTCGAAAGGTACCGACGTACGACGATGTCGAATGAAGCTGTGCATTGTTGTTACGAACAAGCTGAACACGACGGCACTGTTCTGACTCGGGTCGATTTGTTTACTTCAACTTGCCGCAAGGTTCTGGAACGGGAGACGGAATGCGGGTTTACTCTTAGGTCAGCAGCAACCGTATTGGCGGATCTGATGCGACGCTGCCTTTTCCTGTCTTGTCCTCATTCGCATCATGCAGCCGCGTGACGACCTGCAGGTGGGATCCATTTATACTTTTCGAACCTGGAGCCTCTTTCTCTTTTGGGGGAGGAAGACGATAGCAATATTCGGTGCCCCGACTCATCCCCTGGTTATTTCGAGTCGTTTCAGCCGTTGAGAGTGGACATTGACGGGCTGCCGGGAAGAAGGCGTTGCTTTATGGCGGGTTCCCCCCCTTCCATACCAATGAGGTAGCATCTGTTGCGGTCTGGGATCTTCCATGGCTGCAATCCATCGATGTTCAACGGCGTCTGTCTAAATTTGGGAGGCGCAGACGGGCGAAGTGGTGCAGGAAAGCAAATGTAAGATTAGTCGCCGAGATTGGACAATGACTGGTTGCTCGCAGTAATTACCCTGAAGCTGCGCCAGTTTACATTGGATAAAAATTGCTTTCCTTTGCCTGGGTGTGACTGGGAAGACTTTGGTAAACCGTGAAGCACACTATCAAGATAAGAGGAGGTAACTTTTCCAACACAGGTTGCACCACTCACTGCGTGGCAACAGTGGCATTGAGCGAAAGACTGACGACGAACACGTTGCATGCAGGCGGTTAGCCGTCCAACAGCCCCTGCTGGCTGGGCGTCGAATACCGATACGCCTGTTCGAAGCATGCCGTAATTATCGGTAGCTCCGCCGTCTGCGTGCAGCGGGGAAACCGTAAAGCAGCGAAGGTTCGGACGATGCAAAACTACGACAGCGTCATGGCAACCGCGAGGGGATGGAAGCAGCTGGAGGCCTGGGACCACTGACGAGCCTTCCCTTGTCGACGTTCCAGGGTCTCGTAGAGATCTGCGGCCGCGCTACGTTCCGCTGCGATACACGATGGGGAAGATGAAGGAGCGATGCAGACCGGCGGCCCAATTGCAGGCGAGCATCTACTAATACCAGTATGAAGCTTTACATACCGCCGCTGCTCTTCTGACTGAATCGGGATCCACGTAAACATTGACAGCAGTTGCTCCGCGATACAAAGAGACAGCTGTGGAATGTGCCTGACCTGACGAGACCAAGACAGACGCACTTTCTCGTTTTGCCTCATCCCAACTCAGATATAGCTCACTGCTCCCCAATCATTCGTCTTCCGTCTGTCTCGCCTCTATCTTCCCAGCCGTGTGTGTCTTGGTCTCGTCATTCTTTGCATCCCACCAGCCCGCAATCCCACCTCATTTACGACTCCTTCCTCAATTACAGGGTATTCAATCCAGAATACCACCTTCCAACGACTACGAACACGGAATCACAGTATCACCTGCTCCCACCGCAAGGGTAACGCTACTCCGACTGACGGATCACCAACCTCTTTCCCGCTCCACTTGACAAGTTGACATCCATCACCCCTGCATTTCGTTGGCCTACGGATCCTTCCCCAAAAAGCTGAACCAAAAAGTGGTCAACGTCTGAGACCCCCATATCAGGACGGCCGTGCTCTCAAGGGGAAAGGAGGCTCAGAGCATCACAAAAAGCCCCTCGTCTGGCGACCACTTTTCCTCAAGCGCTGCGCTGGGCTTCTTTTGTCCTCCATCTTCTCATCGTCGCCGTCGCAAACTGCCCTGCATCGTTGCCCGGGCCGTTCTCTAAGTCATACGTCACCCCCTTCCCTGGTCGCGGTCTGCACTGGTCAAGCTATTCAGAGCTGCCAGATGATCTGTCAAGCTTATTGAAAGACAAGTTCGCAGCCACATCGGAGACATTCATTCTCCCCGCCAGGTCAAAGACACGCCCAAGGACCCGAGACGATCACACCTCACGGCTCTTTACCTTTCTCAGCGCTCTTTCGGTATAGCGCCCGTCTCTGTTTGCCATTTTCCCGCCCAATCGACCGAAATTTGTCCTGTCCGCCACGTCTTTGCCCTTGCTTTTCCCACCCAAGGCTGCCAAATATTTACAAATCAACCATCCCAATCCTGTCGCCCAACCTGGCCTGCCTCGTGCATCTCATTCGCTGCCTGGCTGCTCTTGCGACTAAGGCAAGTAACCTTAGTTGACGTCGGCCCTTCCTTGCGGGCGACGAGTGGGGCATTCGACCACAACCTGGAACCTGGTCTGACCTGCGCCGCCTAATAGCGACCCAAGGCCAGTAGAGCTACCATCGAGCGCGATATCTAGCGGTCACATTACTGGTCGGGTCCCTGTACACAAGCCGCGGCGCCCAATAATTTTTTGTCTGGTCTTATACACCCAAACCGACCCGACTGTCCATCATGTCCGTCACCACAACAACAGCGACTGCTGCATACGCGCCGACCCATAGAAGTCTTGCCCACCCGCCGCGAACTCTTCGCAAAGCTACCAGCTTCACTAGCAACTTCGCCTCCTCCACAACCGCTTCCTCTCCCAGCCTTAATTCTCTCTACAACACCCACTCGCGTCTCACGCCCTCGCACCACACCCTTCCGCGCAAATCCTCCTTGGCCGCGCTGACACCCAAGTCCCTCGCCTCCATTCCCGATGTAAGCGAGTCCTATGCCTACAATAGCGTCCTAGCCGAGTCGCCCGATCGCAAAATGCCACCTGCCACCCCTGGTAAGGCCGGGACTGACTTCGTTCTCGGCGATGTCGTTGAAGTCCCGGGAAATATGCTTGGGACCGTCCGATTTATCGGTTCGGTGGATGGGAAGAAGGGTACTTTCGCTGGTGTCGAGTTGCATCCCGAGTTCTCCCAGCGGGGCAAGAACTCGGGCGAGGTAGAAGGGTAAGTTTGCGCTCTACCAACCTGTCATGAATAGTCATGTCTGACTTCATCTAGCGTTTCCTACTTTACCACGACTCTTCCTGGCGCAGGCATCTTCCTCCCTCTTAACAAAGCTGTGAGACGGGATTCTCCCCCTGGCTCGTCATCCAGCTCGTTTCCTCACACTCCTACTGCAAGCACCATGGGCGGTCTCAAGGTCGGCACGCAGAACTCGACGAACACACCTCCGACGCCATCAGTGCCGTTATTTAGCAAATCCGTGGGCCCTGGCGTTAACCCCGGCCGATCAGTCAGTCCTCAACTGAAGAAATCGATGAGCAGGCCTTCGGTACGCCCAGAGTCACCTGTACGGAAACTACAGATGACCCCAGGACCAAGACCATCGCTGGCGACGCCCGGCAAAGGGCCTTCCAAATATAGCTCTCCTGCCCCGAATCGCTTCGCGCAGAGTGTCCGCGGAACGGCTGGAGACCCGAGCAAAGGGTCACGACTGGATAGGAAGCCAAGTGTTGGTCCGCGCAGTTCGTCTGCTCTTGATCAAACATCCATGTTTGACGAGGAGCCGATGCCACAGCCACCGGCCACTCTGCAGCGAACACAGACAAATGGAAGCACCAATTCAGTATCTTCTTATAGCTCCAAGTTCAGAGTGCCGTCGCGGGCTGGAGCTGGATCAAGGGCCACATCACGAGCTCAGAACGATGATGAAGTTGACCGGCTTAGAGCACAACTAGACGACCGCGAAAGGCAGTTGAGGGATCAAGCATCCACGCTGGCAGAGATGGAGAGCAGCCTGACCGAGCTTCAGACTCTTATGGAGAGTTCGGATCTGTCAGCACCCAAGCGCAACAGTCTCGATGATAAAGACTCGATGCAGCTTCGCGCATTGGTCAGAGAAAAGAACGAAAAGATTGCGATGCTCACTGCTGAATTCGACACACACCGAGCAGACTTCCGAAGCACCATCGACACCCTCGAAATGGCCAGTTCCGAAACCGAACGAGTGTACGAAAAGCGCATTGATGAGTTGATGATGGAAATGCGAGAACTCGAATCGCGGACGGATGACGTGGACTCGGTTGCCCGTCAGTTGAAGCAGCTCGAGGAGTTGGTTCAAGAGCTCGAAGAAGGTCTCGAAGACGCACGGCGCGGAGAAGCTGAAGCCAGAGGAGAAGTCGAATTCCTTCGTGGTGAAGTCGAGCGCACACGAACAGAGTTGCGTCGCGAACGCGAAAAGGCATCGGCCGGCATGAAC